GGCTGGCAGAAGACTCTATTGGGAGAGCTCACGCGATCGCGCTGAGCGCACGCGTCTGTGCCACCAAGCACCACAACCACCACCATCACGGATCACAGTAGAGTTTATTATATTGATTCGTCGAGCGTTAATGATATTTTCCGAATGCAGTTCAAATGATGAAAAGAACGGATCAAAAACTTTAATTGCATATCGAATGAATCCCCCCCCAAAAATAAATTTTTAAAACCCTTTCCATGGAAATATCCAATTCACGTAGTTCAGGGAACTCATAAATTGAACTGTTTTTCATTGCTTTTAATTTGTAGCATGTAAGCAGTCAATAGAACGTTCCGATGGACGTTAATGGACCGCAGCCGATAACTTGAATGAAACGTTCATTGAACACGTTTCGGTGCTATTGGGGTGGTAGTCCCTGAACATCATGGTGACTCCTTCTGCAACAGAGCATTTTGTTTCCTCCGGTTTGCAGCAGGTTTACCTGCCACTGGTTAAAAAGACGCAAGCAATTAGCAAGAAACCTTGAAACTTTTAAGAACGAAACGGGATTCTGCCTGACGCAATAATGTATTCGTTCGAACCCACCCGTTAGTTATCTTCACACATTACAACAAAACGTGATAAATGAATCACATTGAATCAAGAGATTCTCTTATTTGGTAACGTCCCTGGTAATTAAATTGAATTAATTGAAATTAAAAAGCGACAGCGCTGCTAGAAATGTTCAGCAGAGCCAACAACATGAATATTTGAGTTTTTAGAAAATTTATACTTACAACTTGCTTTCTGAACCCGGTTCGTGGTTCTGTGTAAGGTATCCCGAAAATGACCCAGTAGCATGTGCTACCGGAATTATCGATGTGGTGAAGCGTAAATATACAGTAGGTGCATGCTGGACATTCCACCACAAATAAAATTTAAAAAAATTCCTAATGATCAAGATAATGAACGACCGTGCTCCGAGCGGTCCACCAGTGACTTCTAAATTATTACAGGCGGCATCGACATGAAGGGGGGACGCAGTTTTCCTTCCTTTTATTTCTCTCCGGTCGTTCTCTTGACTAAGGTGATGAATGGCTCCAATCCGAGCGGTTCTGCATGACTATTGAATTATTAATTATATACAGTATCGAGCAAGTGGCCTGAGGCGTCACACTTAAAATATGTTGTGAATAATATCAATAGCAAAACCTAATTAGCTTCATTATAAGAACGCTCTAGTATTGATGTATATATTGTATGTACAAGACTATTCCCTTCTGACTGCAGGACTACTAAATTATAATGTAAGTACTTCGTTTTCAAAGCATTTTCATAATGTGGAATAACTTTTGGTGTTGGTCGCTCCATATTTATGACTGTGAAACCTCCCATATTGATATGATTATCTGGAGATGAGTTGAAGAACTGAAAGAAAAAGCGGTTTACATACAGAACAACAACGTAACAAGATTAGTTCTCTCATACAGTGTTAAACTACTTAAATTACTCTTCGTTTCCTTCAAGAGAGTAGTTTAGAAGCTGCATGGTAACGTGATTCAACTACAATAAAGTTTTTCTCAAGCTAAAGGCATCTAATGAAGTATATTTCCTAATGAATAAAGCCTTCTATGGAAATACACTTGAGGATAAGAGGGGCATATTCATGACCCCAAGGCCAGCATCAACATACTTCATATTCTTTCCCTTTATAGGAAACTCCATTCGGATCAATGTTATCGACTGTGCGATGGGATTGGAGGAAAACCCTCAGAGACCAAGCCTTCTACGGTACGAATCGGTTCCCGATTGGCTGCAATCTATTGCGCGATTTCTGACGTCACTTTAGTACATTCAGTTGGCAGAAAGGAAATATAGGGGAAGAGAAAGAGGGTGAATACTTCAGTTCACCAATATGTCACGTCGTGATAGGCTGCGCCTTTTCCTCGGCACCCTTCTATTCCTGAAGATAGTACTTGGCTCCATCACCTTTTATGAAGTTCACCCCGGGAAAAGGTATGGCAACGCGTCACGGGAAGTCACAGCTTTGCGTAGGATGGATTGCAGTATCTTTTGCATAAGTCAGCTGCCAGATTCCTGTAAGGCCTACAACTACCGGAAAATCGACGGATCTTGTGAGCTGATTTTGAACAATAAGAGTATCCTTGTCCCCTCTGACGGATATGTGGGCTACTCCCAAAGTAAGTCCAGTAACTTACTCATTGTTACATATTAGCCTAATATGTTTGATGTTTTCCATTGACTTTTGCACCTGGCGCACATTCTTACGCTCTCGCGGGATATTGCTTCCTTCATATTTCAAAATGATCCGCAGGCGTAACAAAATGTATCTTTCTCCTTCCTCACGCCCAGGAAACAGGTGGCACTTCAAATGACGCATCCATCTGACAATTGAAGAGAGGATTGTATGACCAGTCCATAGTCTGTAGCATGGATGGATGTTCACGGATTACACTAAAGCACTAGTACTTCATAGAAATACCTCTAAGAATATGGAAAGGGAGTTCCACAACTCATGAGTTCCTATTGATGGAATAACATGTAATGAAATGATATGCGTCAAATATGTTCCTCTTTCTCCTGGGCGCCATAACGACTAGCCGCGAAACTGACAAGTGCTGTAGGAGAGTTAATAAAGCAGCTGTTGTTTCAAAGGTCCCGGACATGGTTCCTGTCACGGTTGCCAGGAATTATTGCTAAACTTAACGACATCAGAGGAGCGAAGGAGAGCAGGGAATACAAAAGATTATGCAACGCGTGCGATTTTTTTTAGAGGGAGGTGATGACTGTGAGCATTATGAGTGTTGGGTATTTTGAAGTTATACAGTATGAAGAACCAAATGAAAGTTATATGCGAGAAAAAGCCCTCGAAATATTGAACTCATATAATCTCCTAGCGGAAAGTAAACTAATAATGATGTCAAGAGAGAGATTAATTATTACGCACAGAATCGACTTCAAGGGGTGACGCATTTGTCCTTCCTTCGATTTCTCTCAGGTCGTTCTCACGAGCAATAGATGAATGGGGCCAATCCGAGCGATTCTGCGTGCCTGCTGTTTTATTGATTGCACACATCATCCACTAGAGCGCATGGCGCATTAATTTTTTGCTTTAAATTAAAGTAAATAATATCAATGATTAAAATGCAGCAGCTTTTTATTGGCGGGAAGCTCCGGGAAGGTGCTGTATATTTATTTGATGATATATGTCTATTCTATATTCTCATGTCCTTACAAGGTCCTTTCCTTGCCATACGGAAAGGACTGTGTACTCAAGTCAACTAAGTACTAAGCTTATATTCCCATCTCTTTCTTCCTCATAATTCATATCGGAATAATTCCATAGTCAAAAAGTTTTTTTATCTGTTGCGAAAATTTGCCCTGCTTGCAGTCAATCAAAAATCCAGTGAATATATTGAACAATTTGGTCCCATTGGATAAGTTATGAGCAGTATACAGAGTGAGCCAAAAGTTATGTAATAAATTCTTAAAAGTTTTAAATATTAAAATGAAGCGAAAAATCATCGGTTAGATGAATAATAGGATCTTAGAGAAATATTAAAATACTATTTTAAAGATAATTCTCAATATGACCGCCCTATGACCGAATGAGACCATCCAAACGACGAGGGAACTGGTCGACAACTTGTCGCAATTGAGATTCATCGATTATGTCCCATGTACGGAGCAAATCACACATCAGAGTCTCCACACTTTCATGGGGTGTCATGCAAACTTTCAGTAGAAAAATTCCCCAGACGAAGAAGTCCAGTGGGGTCCAATTGGGAGAATTAGCCGTCCATTCATCCGGAGTGAAAAATTTCGGACAGTTTTCGGAGGAACTCTTGAGTGATTTTGCCGTTTTCATGCCGTGATGCCGAAAATTTTTGACAAATCCATTAATTGTTTCCAAAATTTTCGTAATCCCACGGAAGATGGACCTCCTTCAAGACAGTGCAATAATGTTCAAGAGAATTTTGGACAAAATGAATGGATTTTTCAACAAGATTCTGCACAATCGCAGAAAGGGAAAGTAACTAAAGAGTTCCACGGAAATCATTGTCCGAAATTGTCACTCCTGATGAATAGATGGTTAATTCTCCCGACATGAGCCCGATGGACTACTCCACTATGGGAATTTTGCAGCTGAACGTTTGCTTAAAACTCCAAGCAAGTGTGAACTCTCAGAAGCGTGATTTGCTCCGTACGTGGGACATAATCAATGAAGCTCAGTTGCGAGAAATTTTCGGACGCCCTCAATCGGTCATATGAAAATTAATCTTTAAAACAGTATTTTGATGTGTCTCTAATATCATATTATTTGTCTAAGAAGTGGTTTAGTGCTAATTTTTCATAGTAAATTTCTTAAAGAGTTTTTTCCGGAACGTTTGGTGCTTCCTGTACATGTACTGTATACCAGAACTTTTACGGAATTTGAACTAAGTCCTATTCAATGCAAATTACCTTAGTTATTCTTATTCGTACATATGTCTACGAGGGCTTGAACTGGAACACGTATCCAAACTCGTGCATAGCAGTTCCCATTTGTCAGTATTGTATTGCACCATAGGTGCAGGGATTTCGCCTTGGGGCCATAGAGTCACTGCTTGACGGCTGGTTGGAAAATATTTTCCCAACTTTCTGCTTTCGGTCTTTGTTGCTGGGCGTGCTTTGCATCTCTTTGGATCCTACCTTTGATTTGTCTTCATCGGCTTCTCTTCGCCGGCTTCTCTTCACTTGGTTGGGCAAATGTTTATGTTCATGTTTAATTAACTAATACATGTATGTATGTATGTTGTGTGCGTGAACATCCACATGCTTTTGTTCTCCACACCGTTTGTCACGTGAAACAGAACCATTGAGCCACGCTACCGTTGGCCTCTAAACATAAAAAACCTTCTACATGTGACAACATTCTAACTGTCGAACCGTTAGATCTGGCAGACACAGATCAGAGCCAGATTGAAATGAGTCATATTGGAAGTTAATAACACAGTGCTATGAATATCCTCTTAACAATCACAGAGTTGTGCTTGACTGAATACCCGGTGGTGGAGAACGCGATGGTGACATACAAGGAATGGAACGGAAAATACCCAGCGCCCAGTGGTGCACTCGTAGTCTTCACCTGTGTGCAGGGATTCACAGATGGGAAGAGGGAGCATTGGACACTCTGCAGTTCCTCTCCGGACACGTGGTGCACCTCCTTCATCGATAACAAAGTGAAATGTCCAAAGGCGGGTGAGAAATAATTTACAGTGCTCTTTCTATGAACGACGTATACCGGATGGCGCAAAAAAGCCTCATGGTTGAGGCATAATGAAACCTAATGGCTAAATTCTTTGTCTGCATTTTTTCATAATGCAGAAAATACTCTAAACTATATTACAAAGAAAATGTTTTGAAATCTCTGGGATGTGTCGGTAATGAGCAAAAGTCGTTGAAACCTATTTAAGAAAATCCCGATTTTCGCCTAATGCGATGCCGCTTAATGGAATACCGTCGCATGACCCCGATTTTTTAATCATTAAACGCATTATGAAAAATATCGCATTAGGGAATACGGTTATTAAAATCTCTCCTGAAGGTATGAAATATGGAATACTTTTTTAATCACCGAAAAACAAAATGCTTATTTTTCCTGTTCCACGTTCTCGGGAAAGTCATTGCCGATTCTTCCCCCAAGCACATCCTCTCCCATCGAGGGATAAGGTCAAGAATTGCCACTTAACTTTTCCGAGCAGAAAGGAGACATGAGGAAAGGCAAGCTTAACTAGAAATGTCTTAATATAGGCTGCTGATGCAAAAAGGAGGCACGTAAGCCAATAGTTTCAGGTGAAAGTATAGTAAAAGCAACTTTACCTGTAAAATAAATGGAGCCTATGGGCAACAGAACTGCACATTTTCCGTCGACAACGGAGAATAGCCTCAGCTTGACCAAAAATATTGCAGTTCTGAGTGTTCATCAGGACGCAAACTGAACTGGCACAGCAGTTTAGAATGTCGAAGCCGCAAGTTTCATATAGCAAGAACAAGGAAGAGTTGGAGAAGGAAAAAACAGTATGAAGCGGAAGTGGGAAAATGTTATAACGCAGAAAAAATTATTAAACCTATTCAAAGAAAATACAATATAATAATACCAATAAAAATATAATTTGTTAAATATTATTTGCAAAAACATTCTTAATTAGAAATGCGGGAAAACCTTTATCATATCAATTTAAGAAATTGCTTAAAGAATGATGAAGGGGATGCACATTACGATAGCTTCGGTTATTGGAACACTCGGGATAATAGAACTTACTTTGCTGGTCCCTGAGTATTTCATTATGCGGAATCGACGGTGTCAGGAGTCACAATTTCTAGCAGCGTTCTCTACATCACAGAAAAGCCTTGGATTTCGAAGAAAACTCACAGTACGGGGTGTCAATAAATTATGGATACACTATCACCATAGCATAACTTCTGATCGAGGAATCTCACGACAATAATATACCAGGAGATAATAGCGGGACTCTGAAAGTTTTGTTTCGTTGCCAGCCCTAAAATTTAGTTCACAGCTTCCAGCAGATGACCTTCCACACTGAAAATGACGACTTCACAGAAGACAAAGTGTGTCTTATGATTTGAAGCTGCCAGAAGCGCCATTAGTGTGCAAAGGCGATTCAGAAGAAAGTTTGGGAAGAAATATTCAACATGGGAAGCCGCTTATGGTTGCCACACGAGATCTTCAGAGACTAGATGCTAGTGTCACAAATCTAGAGCGGGTTAGTCAAGCGTCAAGAAAGACTCCAAATGTTACTTTCCGGCTGTCATTAAGGAACTCTATGACTGTGTAATGAATTTATTCAGCCCAGATTCGTTCATTGTGACGGTTCTCCTTGACAAAAGATCAAATGTTGCATAGTCTATGAAGGCTATATAACTGAGGGGGATTTCTTTATTTCCCATGTGTCTCAGCATTTCCCCACAGAAGTCACAACACCTTATTTTGTCATATGACTTAATCTCATGGGAGAGAGTCAATTTGTAGAATTAAAGGCACATAATTTTCCTTAAAATTTGATTCATATGCAATGTTGGCACTAACGGTTAATTTCTTGCCTTTCGGACGCTCTTCCTTCGACTCCTGACAAAGGCTTGGTGAACGCATTCCACGGTCTCTTTGTTGGCCCTTAACCAATTACCTGCAAAGTTGTGACACAAGCATCCGGTTTCGAGAAACCTTTTATTACTCCCTTTTATAATCCGGATACAATCAAATTCAAGTATCATGTTCTCGCCTAAGGCTTAAAGGCATTATACAACAATAATATTCCGAGAACATGACATGAAAGGCCACTTTAATGGGGCGGAAAAAAAATTGTGGAATATAAATCCACCTCATGCGTGGAAGAAAATCATTTCATGATTGCAGTCATGATATTACATGACTGCACTTTGAATGCTTGCTTTTATTCAGAATTGCGTATTGAAACCTTAGGCTAATACTGTAAATACTCCCATTGTGTTTATTGTGGTATATCACAGACATACGAGATTCATTTACCATAGTGAGTTTCTCAAGGCATGAGACATGACACATGTATTTTGTGGGACACAATCTGCATGTTTCGCTATTTAATGCATTATTAATGAAATTTCTTCTACCAGAACTCAATTAATACTGGATTGTGAAGGGTAAAACCACCTAAGTTCGGATGGTACTTAAGTTCAGGCACTGTAATGTTTATCGCTAATCACTACGCATTCGCGAGACATCAAAGAGAGTTCTTCTTGACCCAAGATGATCATGTTAGTAACCAAAAGACTTGCAGTGACCACGATTGCTAAGCACGATTTCGAAATATCGGACAGAAATGAATGTCATCTTGTGGACAGGAAAAATGCACGAAGTCGACCAATATTCAGAAACACTTCCCACTCAGTATTGTCAATTCTGTGCTCAATTCTTATTCCATAGGAAACTAGCTCGATACGCCGAAAGTAATCGTTTGGTATGCTCCTATTAGCACAGGAATCGTTGAGTCGCTCTTACCCCCGAGATGATGACGGACAAACAACAAATTTCAATTGTGAAAATTATCATTCAAAATGTGCCAGACGTTTGCAATTCTTCATAACCTTAAAACCTCAATGAGAGCATCTATCCACAAGATGGGGCGCCGTCTTGTTGCGCACTCAATGGAAGATGGCTATTACACCATCACTTTCCTGACCGATGGTTTGGGAGACTCCGTCCAACTCTTTGGGGTCCTCTGTCACGTGACCTGACACCTGCCGATTCATTTCTGTGGGGCTATGCAAAATCAAAAGTTTTTGCTGGGAAGTCGCAACATTTAGCAGATATGAAAGAAAGCAGAGGTCCTAAATGCAGAGAACTTCCACAGAGATATCCAAATTTCCGAGTCACGTTATTCGGAGGTGGCTCAAGCGCATTGGAATTGGTGGTGCACATGTCAAAGCACTGCAAATTTAAATTTCTCACGCTGGAAAAAACTCCGATGAGTGCTGGGAAGAATTATGTATTTCACTTGGAAGAATCTCTTCCACTTTCGGATAAAGTAAATATTGAAGCGAGGTAGGGATTTTTGAAGCACCCTATATATTCCTGACATCTACAAATTTCAAAGTAAAATAAGCAGCTGGTCTTTATTATTTTGTCTATTCACGTTCACCTCACGTGAGAATAAAAACATGTAATTGCAACAATCTACACTACATTTCAGAATTTGTGTGTCTCTTTGTCTGTCCTTTATGCACCGCGATGGCTTTGATACCTGTCCGGCGAAACTTTGCAAGGCTTCATCATTTGGTCCGGGGATGGTCATAGGCTAGGTGACGTTTCAAAATTAGCCCCCCCCCCCCCCCGGGACAAGGCCGCCACTAGATCAAAGTTGTGCCCCATGCGAGGAGCTCCCCCCCGGCCCAGGCGGTCGCCTGAGTCGGCTGCCCAGATTACCTTGTTTATTGCAGAAAAATATAGGACCTACTGGGTATACAATATTCACCCTGGCCCCAACCTCTGCAAGAAGTAAATTGGCCTACTTGTGAAAAAAAAGAATAGTATCACGCAATACTAATAGGAAACCAAGGTTGATCAGAAATTACTGTAGTCGAAAATCCTTCGGAAAACCAATTTTTTGCAAGTCTGTATTGATGACTGTGACTGAATAAGTGATTGACAGATGCTAATTTCCACAATGTTCAAGAAACGGTAGAAATCTGAAACTTGGTACACCAGTATTTATTGGTGTCCTGAGTTCATAACAAAATCCGACATCGGAAGCAAATATCCTGGGGGACTTTTATTTTGGACTGAGGTGTTTTAAAAGAATTTGCTTCACCTCAGAAAATCAGAGAGACCATATTCCTCTCGCTACAGTCAGAAAAAGCAAAGGATACTATTTTCAGCATGTCGGATGTGCTTCAATTCTGAAAGGGGTAAATTAGAATGGATGCCATATTAAAACACCATTCCCACATACATTTATGCGGTAAAAGTTTCAATTGAATCGGGAATCTTCAAAGCAGTGTATGTTTTTTACATGTTGTTTCGTTGCCCTTTTGCGTTCTATGCAATAAAACATGTGATTTACTGAGTTATCCTATTGAGCAGAATTAGTATTTACGATTAGTATTCACATTTTGCTGGGCTTCTCAAAAGTGTACCCTGAGTGCCGGAAGACAGTGAAAGGGAAGGAGTACATGGGGAGGATGAATAAGACCGAGACTGGAAAGGACTGCCTGCGATGGGATTCCAAGCCATACGATAAACCCAATGATTTTGAGATAGCTATCTCGTACGAAGAGCATTTCCTGAACGAGGATCCTGGATTTCATGAAAACTTAAGACCGAGACTGGAAAGGACTGCCTGCGATGGGATTCCAAGCCATACGATAAACCCAATGATTTTGAGATAGCTATCTCGTACGAAGAGCATTTCCTGAACGAGGATCCTGGATTTCATGAAAACTACTGCAGGAATCCTGCCATGAAGGAAAGACCTTGGTGTTTCGTCTCGGACCGAAATATCCAATGGGAGTATTGCGACATCCCTTTTTGTGAGGACAAAGGTCAGTTTTTTTTCTTTTGAAAAAGCAAGTAAGTTCATATTGACCATTGCCTTGTCAACTCCCTTTGCGCACTTTCTTAAACATGTAACACTTGAGTAACCAGTACTAAAGGTTAGAAAGCGAACAATTTCCTACCCCTTAAATCACAGCTAACGTAAAAGAATGATGATTTTGCTAAATTTATGTCTTTCAAAAAATATATCCGCTGCCCTTATACAATTTTGAATTTCGAATCATGCCTAAAGGTTATGGCAGCTCAAGTAACACCGGAACGTTTAATGACTAAAGAAAGAACATTTCATTAAAGATATGTCTTTCGTCCTATGAACGTTCTGTGGAATAATGTATTTCTACCTTCCTCCGGGAAAGACGATGGATGGGAAAGACGAAAAAAGTTGTCCTGACATATCTATCAAATATCTTTTTTTTGCCTCTTCAGGATTTGCGATTGAATCGGAAAATCGAAACTTCCATTACTTCCAAAACTTATCCATGGAGTCACCTTTGACGTTAAGCCATCCTCCTAACAATGCCCATGTCTCAGTTTTAGGGTTGTTACTTAGACTGTGATACCTCTTTAGACCGGTTTGTTGAAAAATTCTAATTTCTTACCTTGAACTGCCTGGGTGGAAAAATCGAGCCTCTAGTGCAAACTAATAGAGACTAATTCCATTTGTATGAGGTATCGACTCTCAATAGCGGCTGCCTTTCCGCCGTCTGATCACGGTCTAATTTCTTACCTTGAACTGCCTGGGTGGAAAAATCGAGCCTCTAGTGCAAACTAATAGAGACTAATTCCATTTGTATCAGGTATGGACTCTCAATAGCGGCTGCCTTTCCGCCGTCTGATCACGGTTGTGCGAACCTCTTCTGTACTTGTAACGTTCCATGCAAACATAGCCATTTTGAGAAGGCTTTCAATGCTTTGAAAGTTACGGCGGTTTGGTAACTGACTTGCATCTTTTAGATAAGTGGTTCTAGAAGACGATAAATGTCCTTGATAATTTTGAAGTGCAGATCACCTGCAAGAGTCACTAATAAATAAATGTCACATAGATATTATATAGAGTGTAGGAATCGTAGGTTGCCACATATTGGTAACATTCTTTTACCTCTTACATAAAGAGTTTCATATCAAGGTTACGTACCCCTGGAAACTTTAAAATGCAGTTTAAAAGCCGAAGTAACGCCTAAGTAAATGTCACGCAAATGTGCACTTTCTTCAAGAATGATGGCGAGAAATGGGAAATGGAAGGGAATAACCCGCCCGACTCGAGAAAGTGACCAGTTTCTCATGTTTCGGACTCAAAAAATTATGACTATCATTAATCTTCATACATGAAGCAAAAAACGTTCATATCTTGTCACATTGTTTGCGTTCAAGTAGACTTAGGCGTCAGATTTGCGGATGAAATGAAGTATTTCAAAGAAAGTTATCTAATACTAATGTTAGCAGTAGTATTATTGGTTCCCTCTGAGGGTTTAATCCCATGAATGCATATGCGCCACAAACACCGCAATATTTTTCCTGCTTTCCCAGTCAGACGTCAAATGAATTCCTACGCATTATTCGACGGCCGTGTTCTGTAATGGGCGTTTGCCATCCCCTGGGAACCAACATCTTCGCGAGTTACATAATATTTCCCTCAACTTTTTAGGCTTCTCGATCCAGTTTCTGGATGAAACACCTACACTTGACAGCAACATCGTTTCAACCGAATACTTCCTGCAAATATTGTTCTGACGTGACGTATTTTCCCCTATAATTTTCGTGCTATATAGAGAAAGCGAAAAGCCAAATAATGATTACCAACAATGCTCCTGAAATGAAACATCCAATGTGCACATATATATTTCCAACATACCAGGACACATCCCAGTTCTCGAAGATGTATCGATCTTAATAAAGACAATGTTCAGTTATTGAGAAGCTGGATGATAAAAACTAAATGAGCTGATTTTGGTAGTGAAGTGGGGAACTTATCCAACACCAGAAAGAGATGTTAACCCTTTCCACCTCGTTTCCTCCTTTCCTCGTTTAATCTCGTTGAGTTTACAATTGGTTTGGTGTGGGCTATAGATAGTCTGTAAATGACATAGAATTGAGGGGTGGTTGGGTGTAAATTTTCTGCCATGGCGGCGCAATGTGAGTTTGTAAACACCATTGGAGAAAAATAAATAATCATCGACGCTTCTTATATTATTTCGAGTCCTTGATGAGGAAAAGGAAGTAATATGGGAACATTGGAGGCGTCCGACATTTTTTAACTTAAAGGTGAAAATATGAACTATTACATCTAATACTTAAATTCGAAAAGGTCAAAAGTGGTGGTGGTGGTGGTAGTTGTGGTTGTGGTCGTGGTCGCCACCCCAACGCGCGGGCCTACAATGCAATGCCATTCAGGGTCATAGCCCAGGCCATCCACGGCCTAAAGCGCCAGGCCTACAAGGCTACGCCTTTCCAGGCCATCTATTACTTTAATTCGAAGAGGGCAAAAGTTGCGGTGGTGGTGGTGATCGTGGCTGTCACCCCTAACGCGCGGGCCCACGATACCATGCCATTCTGGGTCATAGGCCAGGCCTACAAGGCTACGCCTTTCCAGGCTATCTTATATACTTTAATTCGGAGAGTCAGAAAGTTGTGGTTTGTCACCCCAGCGCGCGAGGCGAGACGTGCGAGACGAGACTATGTCACTTCATGCCATAGGCTAGGCCATCCACCTCTCAGAGCGCCAGGTTCTTTGGGCTATGTTATTCTGGGCCATAGGCTTGGCCATCCACCTCTCAGAGCGCCAGGTCCATCGAGCTGTATCAGTCTGAGCCATAGGCTTCATACTTAGCTGTGTCAATCAAAGGGTGGTAATAACTGAATGCATGTCACGTTTTCACTGGTCGACTGCGAGTTCTCTATTTGAATGTATTCTTTGCTCAATTGTTTTTTTCTGTATTTTTTTTTCCCGTTTGGTCAGGCGTGGCGGTTCGGGGCATCGCTTCCATGCAATAGTTTTCTGTTTACGTTTCAAGTCATGGTCGATTAAAGAGTTCTAATGATTGATGAAGTCAAAATAATAGTCTAAAAAGTCTCTGTTTCATATGTCGCGTAAATGAGGTGCACCTCCCATAAAAATGGTGGCGATTTTTGCGAGGCGACAAGGAGACGTTATGCTTACAATAGACGATTCAGATTTCCACCTATTAGACGGCCAGCGTAGCGGCCGCAGGCCGCTAGTCTTATACTTTAATTCGATGAGACCAAGAGTTGTGGTGGTGGTGGTTGTAACCCCAGGAAGCGAGGCCTACGAGACTATGTCACTTCAGGCCTTCCACCCCTCAAAGCGCCAGGTCCTTGAGGCTATGCTATTCTAGGCCATGGGCTTGGCCATCCAACGCTTTTCGCGCCAGGTCCATTGAGCTATTATCAGTCTGAGCCATAGGCTTCATACTTACCTGTGTCACTACAGTTGCATGTAAGGAGCGTAAGGCTGAACGGCAAGAGGCAGCGAATGCTGAGCTCTGGAAAAGGAGAGCCATGCAGCCTGCTGGGCAACTTGATGCAAGGAACGCAGCACTCATTGTCGAAAGCTGGGGGGCGGCCGGGAATTGAACCCAGACCTCTTGCTTGCCGGTCAGGTGTGCTACCATTACACCATGGAACTATGGACATTTTGTCAGGCCTCTCCATGTTATCTCAAAATCACTACAGTCGTTTGCGCAGCGAGCACTGTCAGGCTGTACATTTTGCTGTAGGGAGGGGACATTTGTTTCACATTGCTGCACAACGGAAAAGTGCTTCTGCTGCAACTGACACTTATCGCTCACACTGTTGTTCACTGGTGCTAATGTGGAGGATGAGGCATTTCCAGGAATTATTCATTAGCATTCTGCTGCACATGCGCTAAATTCCCTTTGTGCTAAAGTCAAACAAGTTCTTGGAAATGACACGTACTGTTTCAGAAGCAGTGGTACCTGTACCACAAACTAATGCTAATAACCCATGAGCTAATCGGTGATGCTAAGAGCATTAAATGTGCTGGGAAAAAGTTGTGGTGGTGGTTGTCACCGCAATGCGCGAGGCCTACGAAACTAGATCATTTTAGGCCATCCGCCACTCAAAGCGCCAGGTCCATTAGGATATGCCATCATTGGCCATGGGCTGGACCATCCACCGCTCAAAGCGTTAGGTCCATGGGGCTATGCTATTCTAGGGCAAAGGCTTGGCCATCAAACGCACTTAGCGCCAGGTCCTTCGGGCTATATCAGTCTGAGCCATAGGGTTTGGCTGATCCTGTTATTTCCATAGGCTTCATATTTAGCCGTGTCAAGCAAAGGTGCTACTAACTGAATGCGTCTCACGTTTTCCCTAATCGACTGCAAGTTCTTCATTTGAATACATTCTTTGCTGAGGTTTTTTTTCCGTATTTATTTTTTTCTGTTAGGTCAGACGTGGCGGTTCGCGCCATCGCTTCTATACAATAGTTTTCTGTTTGCGTTTCATTCCATGGACGATTTATTTGAGTTCTCACGATTGATGAAGTTAAAATAATTGTCCTAAAAGTCTATGCTTCATATGTCGCGCAGACGAGGTGCACCTCCCATCAAAAGGGTGGCAATTTTTGCGAGGTGAGGTTGAACGCGAAGAAGAAATGTTGAAGGAGGTCCCAAAGGACGGCGATGAGCCTGTTGTTGCTGGTAAAAAACGGTTGGTGCTGGCGCAAAAACACCGTTTGCCACTGCAGTTGCGGTGCGAAGTGCCCAAATCGGTGCTAGCCGCAATTGCTAGAATAAGTGACGAACAGGAAGCAGATGTGGGTAGGACCGCTCAGACCGGTGAACAGCAAGAGGCAGCGAAAGCTGAGCTCCGGAATAAGAGAGCGGTGCAGCTTCCTGAGCAACTTGATGCAAGGAACGCAGCACTCAAGTGTCGAAAGCCGGGGGGCGGCCGGGAATTGAACCCGGTCCTGCTTGCCGGTCTGGTGTGCTACTATTACACCACGGAATTCGGGACATTTTGTCAGGCCACTCCATGTCATCTCAAATCATTACCGTCGTTTGCGGAGCGAGCACTGTCAGGCTGTACATTTTGATGTAGGGAGGAGGCATTTGTTCCACAACGGAAAAATGCTCCTGCTGCAACTCACACTTTAGCACCAGTGGGCAACGCTTTCAGAGCCTCAGGGTAAAGTGGTGGCAGGCATTTTCTGGAATTAGTCGCTAGCATTGTGCCGCGCATGCACTAAATTCCCTCTGTGCCTTCGAACAAGTTCTTGGAAACGGTCCCTACTGTTTCAGAATCATTGGTGTCTGCACCATATGCTAACGCTAATAGCCCATGAGCTAGTCGGTGATGCAAGAATATTGAATGCTGGGACAACGAAATGAGCAAAGTCGTCTTGAGTCTCGTGAAACCAGCTAAACCGAGGGGTTCGCAATGGCGATTGTGGCAATGAGCTCGAATATCATGATGACGGTGTTTAGGAACAAAATCTCCCTGTGAACTGTGAGCTGTATGTGTATAAATCTAATGAAGCGGTTCAGTTCCGAATGGGTAATGCGATGAACAGAGGATGTGAAGTAGACGTTATGCTTACAATAGACGATTCAAATTTCCACTTATTAGACAGCCAGCGTATCGGCCACAGGCCGCTAGTGAAACTATAATTTGTTGCATGGCTCTCACACTTCTTTGTTGCGATATCTTAATTATAGACAGTGCTAGTGGAGCAAGACGGAGTCATGTTAAAGGGGCAAAATGGGGCGGTATAGTAGTTCCGATTCACTGTCCTCGTCTGCTGGAATATAAAAGCATTAGAATGGTGAGACTCAGGCTGAAGCGATGTGTTATTGTTCAGAATATTTTTCTCGCTCAAAAATCCGGTAAAGGTTGAATGACCTCATATGTTTCATATAATTCGGCTCATGACGGCTATTTCTAGTTTGGCTATGCCTTCAGGCTCAATATGGTGATATAGAAAACTATTAATCTATTTTTCAAGGCCCATGAATTTATTGATATCGTTACCATTTCTTCACAGCTCCACTGGAGTGCAAGCTGACGCAAAAAGTAGGAGAATATATGGGAAAGAAGAACAACTCAATTTCGGTTATCCCATGCATTCCATGGCTACAGGTGCCACGCACCTTCCAATATCGTATGTGGAACCGAAGACGACTTGCATTCTCGGATGAATTGGACCCTGAGCACAATTATTGCCGAAATGGAGGGGGTCGTCCAGGAGGACCTTGGTGTTACATTGGAGACGTTGCCAGTCCTGAAATAGAGTGGGAATACTGCGACGTACCCTTCTGTTCTCCGGATCGGCAAATAAGTCAGTGAAGAGTGCGAGTTCGACTTTACAACACTAAATCGATTTTGGGTCCTTACTTTCATGCCTGTAAAATGTTCAATAACACTTTCGTGAGGAAGTATTTCACATCCAATTAAATTCAACTATGCAAAAAGGAAGATCAGCAAATTAACATTCAGTTGAAGCAGCATATTGTAACACAGATACTCGTATGAGAGTGGTCATGAACCCAAACTATGTATATGTTGTATATGTTATTATAAAATGTCAATGAGGAAAAAACTTTCCAAGAAGGAAAAGGAATGGGGTTCTTGGAAAATTTCTCCCTCATCTTTCCCATGTGCATATTTTCTAATGAAGTACTGCATATATCGCAATAACTTGAGACAGCTGTTTTAGAATTATTAAAAGAATGTACTAATTGCAGTCATTTAGAAAAACAATTATGGCTCAGATACATGTATGACACGAACCGAAAACATAGCCACACAGCTGTAAACGTATTAGCAGGTGTTGAGAACTATTATTATTTGGTACTGAGATATATCAATGTTGATTTCAATCTTCGTCATTCGGTATCGCTGGAGGATCTTGTAATGATATTTCTGGAGGAATCTACGAAACAATATTTCCTGCTTTAAAGCCTTTAAACGCGATTTTGTATGCTTCAGATAAGTGTTTTTCATTAAGCAACTCATAGATCAATGTCACTACAACCTTGTAGTCATGGAGACCTGTAGGAACCGTTTATTTTACTGTTGCGGATGAAAGAAGGTAATGTTCTATATTAGAGAGGTATGCTTCAAGAGATATTACAGTATATGCAAAACCTCAAGTTGGCAGCGTTCAAAACCCCAATATAAATCATAGGGGAATTGAGAAAACCTGAGATCGTTTGGTTTTTCATCGATATTCTTTGCACTCCAAATCGTTAGGATTTCAGTGAAGAATTCATGGCGTTCCTGAATTGGTATCGAAAGTACCGATTGAAGTCTGGGTTCTTCTGGAAGCATAATTGGAGTATATCGCTTCTCTTGTCCCCAAAATGTTTCGTTCATGTCGAGACGCCACTTATTTGTTTCTTTTGGCGGGAAGTGCTACCAATCAAGTAGAAAAATAAAGTGAAGAGCGTCTGAGAAATGAAAGTCTGAGCTGGGTTTTGTGTGATCAATGTCTTCCTAGGTCTAAAAACCAAAGACAATTTCTTATTCGTAGATGAAATGCCCAGGCCGAAGGCATATTTTCCAAATTGCCGGATGACGAAAATGGGCAAAGAATACATGGGCACGGTCAGGACAACCGAAACAGGAAAGTCATGCTTGAAATGGATCGAATTCGAGACCATCGAAACATTTCCGGATATTATGGTGAAGCACCTGCCTTTGACAATCAATCCCAAGAATGTGTTCCGTTTTGATCAACTCTTCATCAACGTTGACCCATTTTACCATATGAATTACTGTCGGAACCCGGGATCGGGAGAGAGACCTTGGTGCTTCGTCTCGAAGGATCCTTCCATCGAGTGGGAATACTGTGACATCCCCTTCTGTGAGGAAAAGGGTACGTTTCTCTCATTGGGAGGATAAACGTTTGTGTCCCTCCCTGTTTCTTATTGGTTGTTTTCTTCTTGAAGATGCTTTTAAAAGATATGATGCCACATCTATGAATGTTCTGAATGAACTGTTCCATTGAAAGAATGGTCTTCTTTTCACCTGGATTACCGGTAGAAAGACCTTTCACTGCAATTCAGTAAAAAAAATTATAATGCATTAATTTGGTAAAATTCCTAAGTTCGGTGACATCGTCAAGGGTATTTCCTCCTCACCCTCTCACTATTGCCGCCCTTATGAATCTTCGTACATCATTCGTGGCACAGATGCGATGAGAAAGCTTTCATTGATAGATCGGCCACTGCTTCGGTTAAACTGGCTTTCGTGTCGTTGAACTCATGTAGAGCCTAGCAATTGTCACCATATGTATCCATTTCCCTGAATTGAACATTGTAGTTCCCGTCGAGTGCAAGTTAACGAATGTTGCGGGGAGTACGTGGGAAAAATAAATTCAACTATGTCGGGGAAGCCATGTTTGCCATGGCTGAGCAGAGTACCAAGCAGCAGCCCTTATGACAATTACCTACCTGCCTTCTCGAATTCTTTGGATGGCAATCACAACTTCTGTCGTAATCCAGACGGAGGATTTAGTGGTCCATGGTGCTGGGTCACCACGCCTGGAGAAGATCCTCAACGTGAGGAATGCAGCATCCCCTTCTGCTACGAGCTTCTGCTGGAATCCGCCAGGAACAGTAAGCTAATGCATGGGTTCTCTGTATTTTTGTTTTTGAGTTTCTGAAAACCTTGGAATGCAACAGTTTTAGATGATTCCTTCTACTGATTGTTTTACAACAAATTCTGCACTCAATCAAATGATTCACTAGATCTGAGTAGCTTTCCATGTAATCAATACTTTTCTCTTCAAGAGTATGTGTGAAGGGAACATCATACTTCGTTCTTGCATGGATTTAACGGAATCTGAGAAAGGTTTCCATTTCATATGCAGGTGAAGGGAGACATGAATATCCACAATGCCGCCTCACAGATATGGGAAAAGAATACATGGGGACAGTGAATAAAACAGAGACAGGAAAGGATTGCCTCCCTTGGGAACCCTGGCCGTATCCTCCTCAAAAACCAAGTAACCATCCTTATTTGGGGTATAATGACCATTTCTTGAATGGGAATCCCAGTGATCACAAGAATTACTGCCGGAATCCGGCGTTTAAGGAGAGGCCCTGGTGCTACGTCTCAAACGCCACCATTCAATGGGAATTCTGCGATATCCCGTTTTGCGACGACCGAAGTAAGGCGACGATTTTTCATTTTTTCCATTGTGCAAAGTTTTTGAACTGTTTAAAGTGACAGAAATGAAACTAATTGAGAGCTTCAACAGCGAATTTAGACAACATGGAGTTAAAAAAAAAGCAATGGCGGAGATAGCTAAGTTATTCGAATATTAGAGTGGGTAAGTGAACTGCATACATTAGCGATGAACTGGATCTCATCCAAAGGTGTTTTTTTTTTCTCAGTCATTCCATTTAGCTTTCTTGAAAACAAGTAGCACAAATGGTCATAATTATTCCAGTCAATGCATAGTAGGCTTTTTCTTCTCCACATAGCTCCTCCAGAGTGCAAATTAACTGATTGCGGTGGGGAATACGCTGGGTGGATGAACAAGACGAATTTGGGATTGTCATGTCAACGATGGAACACCACCCATCCTCATAATCCCGATATCGAGAATGGATTGCAGACTTCATTCTCGGATTATGCATTTCAGGATGGTCACAATTTTTGCCGAGGAATGTGTGGCCGCTAACCGGACAAATACCATTAGCTACTTTTTCATAAGTAGTGGCGCTCCTTTTAGCCGGGGAGGACGACCTTACGACGGCTGCTGCTAGGACACAAATTTCTACAAACACTATAGGGAAAGACAGGGACGAAGTTACGACCGGCAACTTGATCTTTAACCCTTTGACGAATATGCCCGTATATATCCTCCTTAGACTCCGTAGACAGGAGAGTAGTCCTGTGTTTAAAGATGTTTGTGATATCCCTTTCTGTCCCACGAAGTTACGACCGGCAACTTGATCTTTAACCCTTTGACGAATATGCCCGTATATATCCTCCTTAGACTCCGTAGACAGGAGAGTAGCTATGAAGGAATTCACTGAAAATCAGAAGTGCAGCGAAAAGTGGAATGTCTATACTTCCTAGTTTAAAATATTGATAACTACAGAAACATGAACAGACCTAAACTTGTAACTTTTCAACATCTGACAGCAATTTCGCGGTTGTCGCGCGTTGAAGTCGCCACTCATTTCCCTGAAGCTTACCACATCAGAAAATTATATTTTTCGGTTATTACCTCACAATGAACAGCGCATTGAAAATTGCCTGAAATCGTAATTCTTCTGCCGTGCTATCTTCGCCTCTGAATTAGTTGTTTGCATCCGTTCCAAAGTCCTTCATATACCATTGTATCCCAAAATGGTAACGGTCGAAAATGCTGTCCTTACAATGTGTACTTTATTTAATAAACCCATGCACCTTCGTGAGTATACCACGTCACTGTGTGAATTCCAGGGGAAATATTAATGTATGTAGGTAAGGTAAGTTAATGACGTAACCGGCCACCCTGACTCAGAATGACTCGAGCCATCATCTTGTCTCCGCTTTGGCTTAAACTCTAGTCTTGAGGCGAAATCGCGAAGCTCTTCTCATAGCTCGCCATCCCACAAACCTGCTAATCGTCCAAAGCAACAAACTAGAAACTAAGGCGAACAAAACTTAAAGTCTCTGGAGTAGGGTTACATGGATTTTTATTTTGTGCGACAGAAATGCCTATAGGATATACGTAAGAAGATGAAAAAATAAGAGATTTATATCATGCAGCAAAAAAGTACTCAGTTAAGGATATCTGTGGAAAGGGGACTTATATGCAAAATGGCACGTAAGTATCGTGTGGAAAGCCTTAAATGTGGACAAGTTACTGTTAACGTTTGGCCGAAAGCAAGGGGAAGAGAATATAGCACGAGCGTTTAGCCTAAGGCAAAGGGTCCGGCCTCACTCCACGGACAGGAGAAGCCGTCAGTGGGACGACTGATTATGAATGATAAAACGGTGTTCAAACAACAAGAAATAATAACAGTTCAATTTTAGTTTACAGATATCGCAGGTATAGCACAAACTGACAAAATACATTACTAACGAAGGGGAGATGATGTATTGGCGAATGACGACTTCAATATAAGACCTCTTAGTCCACGCTTAGTCCACGCAGAAAGAAGACGAGTGGTTAAATAGGAGGTTTAACCGGTAGGTTTAACCACGCTCCCCATGGCGGAAATCACATGACCTCTCCGTGGAGAGCAAGTCTTACATCCATGGAGGTTTACTATTTCATTTTTAAAGGAATACCGAAGGTGAATGCTGCTGAGAAAGTAATACATTTATTTCGAGCACCCATGGTCCGAGTATTGGGAGTAAGGTCTAACTCGCAAGTCCATTATGCATATCTTCTCCCACACGAGAGACAAGTAGTGGAAAGTAATATACAGGGTGGTCCAAAAGTCTCCATACATAGGGAAAATTAACACTTTATAACAAAATGTAACTTTATTCACGAAATATGCTCTACATGGTTGCCATTACTTTGAAAACACATACGGATGCGACTCTCCGATTCATGGTGAACTCGCGTTAATACATCTGGTGTGATGCGTTATGTTGAAGTTAAACTTTTTTTAAAAGTGTTACTTTTCCCTATGTATGGAGACTTTTGGACCACCCTGTATTTATTCAAGCATTGGATATGGAAATCTCCGAATAAGAGAGTTACCTCATACTTTTAATCATTAGTGGCTCTCTGTCCATAGAACCCTTCTCTTACTTGAACGAAGTATTAATACTTCAAGTGCTGGACGTAATGTCGAGTAGTTCCTTGTTCATTTGCTCCATTCAGTCGTTCGTTCTATTCCCATTCTCTTTCCCTCCTTTTCGGCCGACATATGTTTTAAAGCGCTCGCTTATATCTAGATTTTAGGGACCCAATCGCGAACGCAGTGAATGGGTATAATTGACACGGTCCATCTATTGGCGTTTGCCCTCATCGCATCGTCCAAATACTGTCTCGCAGGAGTAAGTCATTTCAGGTATTGGTGCTTGGTCATTTCTTCCTTCGAAGTATAAGGGAAACGATGAGACTAGCAGTAATTTGCCTTAATTTGCTTCATCAATCCTTCCCGAAGCTGTGAGCGGGACAGGTATTTTCCACGAAAAGTATTGTCCATCTTCGTCAGTCCAAGTGAAAAGAAGTAAACTAAACAACATTTTCGAAACGAATCATCTCCCTTATATTCACCTCATAGAGTGCATCCTAAAGCATCCAATTCCTCTTTTTTTTTCAAATGGGCTGCTATTCCATGCAATATCGCGATTTTCAAATCGATTCAGCCAAATTTGGTCCCATTCTTGTCTCTGTAGTAAATACAACTTTGTAGTAAATACTACTTTTGATCTTTTAGAATATTGCATTTTAAAAAGGTGAAAATCTGGGGTTGAGACGGATGACATTGCTTTTTAAAAGAGTTATCTCATCCTCAATGACTAATTCAAGCACGTCCTTTCGATAGCATTAAGATATATGGGTTTTTGGGATTAATATGAACATCAATATTTTCCCTTTTCATTTGTCACTACTCTATGAGATTTTTTTTCTGGCAAATGTTCCCGGTTCCTCCCAGCTGTACAGAAGTCAAGTGCTTATAACAAGAATCCGTCGAAAAACTGCATAGGTGTAGTATCCCCAGCCAGGCAACATTACAATGTTATTATTTTTACATGAGTCACACTTTGATGGTTTACTTATCCTACATTCATTTTGTTTGCAGGTGAGTAAGAAATGCCTCAGAATTTCGTTGCAAAGCGGAAACGGTGGAGAGGAAATCTGATGCAAAATGAAGTATTATTTAAAGAAGTGGCATTGTGAGCATGCAAAAAGAAATTGAGAAGCGTTCTAGCAAAATTTGATTGCCTTGTGTCGTGCAGATTAAGGGAAAATGAGCAGAGGAGGGAATATCTAATACGGCAGAAATTTAGAGTTTTGAAAAGCACTGTAGCAATAAAGCAGTCTCCGCAGGATCGTGAATGTACTACACCAGAAAATGCCCACACGAATTCAGGCACACCGAGGAAAGCCACAGCTTGTGTTAAGATGGCACTGCCAATGAGGCAAAGAAAATTGAAGGTAGTTGTGAGGAAGTAAGCCTTGTAACTCAAAATGGCCTCAAATACAGACAAGTTATCCAAACGCTTTGAATTAGGTCCCAAACACTCCAAAATTTGTATTTGAATTATGTTGCGGGGATTTCAGTCGCCAGGCCTTGGGCATTAAATATTTATTTCTGACATAGGTACGGAACCATGGAAAAGAGCGAATGTTTACATTTTCATTTTTCCCCGTCGTCGTCGTTGCTACCATTCCCCTAGGATGTGTGGTGGCTATTAAAATCTACCAGGTGGAAGGTATGATGTTGGCTCGATGGAAGTGGCGTGTTGCGTTACTGCAAAAGTGGTGGTTTGTACACGTTGGTGGTGCTGAGCTCACCGAAATGTATGCACGTTGTTGAAACTCAAACGCGCTGTTAGCGTGTTGGAGTTCGGTGATGTTGACCAGGCCTCGTTTGATGTAGGTTGCGAGGACGTATTTCTGGTAGATTTTACAAGGGATGAGGACAAATCCTGAAATGCGTTCTCTTGCGTCGAACTGGTGGCTGTAATTAATATGGGTTTCTTCGATATCAGAATCCGAATCAGGATCAGAATGGGGCTAACCATAAACGGCAACGAGGATCAGGCATCCTCGCATCCCTGCGCCCAGGGATGAACGGACGTATTTGAGAACGTAGATTCTCCGAGACCGATTCGCTTCAAGGAAGATACTGGTGGTGGGGACAGGTAGTCAGACAGGTCGTCCTACAGTTCGTCTAGACTGCAGTACCAGCTGGATTGCACGCCGGTACACAGTCCTAAAAGAAAGTCCGTTGCCCTTCATGGTTAGTCATATTCTGATACGGAGTCCACCAACGCCGGACGATAGTTTACACTTAGCCAATGCGCAACCTGATGCATGGCATGGCCTACCTCCATCACGCCAACTAACCGACCTCCTTCTAACTGGTGAAGTTGGCGAAACTGCCTCTGTGGACGTCGTCCTGGCATGGCTTCAAGGACGAAAAATAAACGATTGAAGCAAATCAGAGTGAATGGAGGGAAGCAGAAAAGGAAACTGGCCTGATCAGTGTAGTCGCCCTTTTCCCCATCCCTCGGGACGTTCCGCTAGCTCGGCAAGTTTTCCCTGCATCGCTTCATCCTATGACTTTGAAACTTTGCTCCATTGTGCTAAACGCCAGTAGAAGTTCCTATTTCGTATTTCATTAATAAACTCTTTATAGATGTTCTTTGTGGGCGATGAGTACGACCCTTCCGACCCCATTTAAATTGGGATATTTGACAAGTTTTCTCTGCAAATAGTCAACCTACGACCTTGAAACTAGCATTAATTTCATGACGCACCAATACAAGTATGATTACCAAATTGCATCAAGATCGCTCAAATCCTTCTTGGTTTGAATTTTTTTTGCCGATGAATGTACTTCCCTTCTAAAAAAAAACTCACCCATCCACACAGGTGGAATAGGGGTGGAATGGTTTGGAACTGGGGAGGATTGGTGTGGAAGGGGGTGAAAGTCTTAAGTACGTTTCTAAATTGCATGTGGGATGAGTGTGGACAGGAGTGGAATTTGACTGAGATAG